ACTGTCTTCATGGTTTTCAGAGACTAGCTGAAATACTAATTGATTTTGTGTTAATTGTTTGCAAAAGAGTAATGCTTTGCTTTCTTGTTTATTGTCTTCGCATGATCCCTGCACTTTGTATACCTTGTCCAATTGTAACACTGGTCCACTTTATGCTTTGAATATAGCCCCTGCTGCTCTGTCACTGCAACTTATTTTTTAAAAGAACATGTTTCTTTCTCTTCCTCTCTCCCTGCTCCTCCCTAATCTTGCTCCCTCCCTAATCTCAGGGGAAACAACTACCTTTCTTCCCCATTTTGGGCAGATTTATTTGTCCTTGAGTACACACCCACCAAAGGAAGGATAGTAATCCAGACTTTGGGGATGGTACCAAAAGATCTCAGAAATGACTGTCTCCCAAATTAACAAATGAATTACAACTCAAACAGAGAAGATTTCCTGCTGGTGGGCAGAATCACAGCCTCTGGGACAGGAGTCCCCAGTATTTCTCAAAACTTCTTTTTCCTTTCTTTTAATATTTACTTTTTAGTTATAGGTAGACACAATATTTTATTTTTTTATGTGATGCTGAGGATCAAACCCAGGGCCTCATGCAAGCTAGGGGAGCACTCTACTTCTGAGTCACAACCCCAGCCCATTTTTTTCCTTTTTCTAAAAAAAAAAAAAAAAAAGCCAGCCTCAGCAGCAACATAGAAAGGCCCTAAGCAATTTAGCAGAATAAAAAATGGCTGAGAATGTGGCTTGGTGGTTAAGCACCCCTGGATTCAATCCTTGGTATAAAATAAACAAAGAAAAAAAGAAAAGAAACACTATCATCAGAATAAGAATGTAGACCACAAAATGAAGAAAATATACATATATCATGTATCTGATGAGGAACTGATATTTAAAACATATAGAGAGCTCCTAAAATTCAATAACAGCAACAACAAAGCTCAATTTATTTTTTTTTTCAAAGAGAGAGTGAGAGATAGAGGTAGGGAGAATTTTTTAATATTTATTTTTTAGTATTTGGCAGACACAACATCTTTGTTTGTATGTGGTGCTGAGGATCGAACCCGGGCCGCACGCATGCCAGGTGAGCGCGCTACCGCTTGAGCCACATCCCAGCCCCGACAAAGCTCAATTTAAAAGTAGGCAAATAACTCAAGTAGACATTTCACACAAGAAGATATACAAGCCAGGTACAGGGGTGCATGCCTAAAATTCCAGTACTCTGGAAGGCTAAGGTTAGCGCAATCTAAATTCAAGGCCAAACTGGGCAATTTAGTGAGACCTTGTATCAAAATGAAAATGGCTAGCAATGTAGCTCAGTGGTAAAGCACCCAAGTCCAATCTTTAGTGCCACCAAAATAAAAAAAAAAAAAAAGGGAAAAAAATATATACAAATAGCCAATAATCACATGAAAATATGCTCAACATTATTAATCATTAGGAAAATGTAAACCAAAGCCACAACCAGCCAGGCACAGTGGCACAAGCCTGTAATCCTAGTGGCTGGGGTGGCTGAGGCAGAAAGATTGTGAGTTCAAAGTCAGCCTCAGCAGTAAGAGAGGTGCTAAGCAACTCAGTGAGACCCTGTCTCTAAATAAAACACAAAATAGGGCTGGGGATGTGGCTCAGTGGTCTAGTGCCCTTGAGTTCAATCCCTGTACCAAAAAAAAAAAAAAGCCACAACCAGATAACCACCTCACAATCATTAAACTACTACTATGTAAAAACAAATAATAAAATAGAAAATAAGTATGGGGAAGGATGCAGAGAAATTAGAACCCTTGTAAACTCTTAGTGGAAATGCAGTGTTACATACATTTGTGGAAAACAGTATGGTGTTTCCTCAAAAAGTTAAAATTAGAATTATTATATGGTCCAGAAATTCTGCCTCTGGTTATATACTGAAAAGAATTTAAAGCAGAGTCTTAAAGAGATATTTGCACACATGACACATCAAGATGTATGTAAGGCAGTCCAAAGCAGTGATTAGAGAAGATATTATGCTCGAATTCAAGACCCCAAAAGACCACCAGAGACCCAGATCGATGTAAGCAACAAAGAGGTGTTTATTTCGAACTAGCTCCGTCCTCCGTGTGCACCTAGCAACTGGTGACGCTGAGAGGCCCTGAGCCCAGGGTTTACAGTAGTTTTATACACTCTTTGGGGAAGGCAGGGACTTCACATACATCATAGCATCTCTTAGCAAATCATCACACACCGCGGGAAAATCATAAAACAACTCTAAAACGTGATTAGCGTATCAAATGGCAGGAAAGAATCTGGAAAGAATTATTGGTTAGTTCAAGGGGTTGATGCACTTAAAAATGATTGGTTTAAACCATGAGGGTGTCGCAAGGGGGGTACCTGCCAAGTTGCAGGGCTTCTAGTTTAGATATTGGTCACCACACCTAGGTGGGGGCCTTCTGGAATTTCAGATATTTCAATATCTTGGCCTATCTTAGGTGATCACCATCTGCGGCTTTTCTGGGAACTGTTTCCACAGAGCTTTTCTGTGGTATTTTCCTGACTTTAGGACTTCAGTAGGTCAGGGGTTAAGTTTAGAGCAAAATGAGATCCCAAGTAGAATGAGGTTGCTTAGGTCTTTCAAAGAATGGACAGATGCTCTTTGATTTCCAGTAGAATTGTGTCCTAATAAGCCATCATAAGTTGAAAATATTATAAGTCAAAAATGCATTTAATATAACTAACCTATCAAACATCATATTTAACATAGCCTGCCTTAAACATGCTCAGAACACTTACAGCAGCCTACAATTGGGTAAAATCATCTAATACAAAGCCTAATTTATTGTATAGTGTTGAATTTTTCATGTACACATATCATGTCTACTGAATGGGACCATTTTCATAGCACTGGGGATTATCTGCCCAAATATAGATGTCTATATTAGAAAGGGCAAAAGAGGGCCGGAGGTATAGTGGAGTGGTAGAACACATGCTTAGCATAAGCGAGGCCCTAGGTTCAAAAGATTTTTTTATATACCTTTTATTTCTTTATTTTTATTTTTATGTGTTGCTAAGGATCAAACCCAGGGCCTTGCACATGCTAGGGGAGCATTCTACCACCGAGCCACAATCCCAGCCCTCAAAAGATTTTTTTATTGATACTTTTATTAGACTGACCAAGATAAAAAAAAAAAGAGGAGATACAGATTACCACACTCAGATCTTAAAGAAATGAAAAGGAATATGAGGGAATACTATGATTAACTTTTGTCAACACTGAAAAGAATTTAAAGCAGAGGCTTAATTAGACAACTTAAGAGAAATAGAAAAATTCTTAGACACAAAGTATTAAAACTGACTAAAAAAAATAGAAAACATGAGTGGATGTAAAACAAATAAAGAAATTGAATTAGTAATTAAAAATCTTCCCAAAGGGCTGGGGTTGTAGCTTAGCCATAGAGTGCTTGCCTAGCACATGCAAGGCACTGGGTTTGATCCTCAGCACCACATAAAAAATAAACAAACAAAATGAAGGTATTGTGTCCAACTATGACTAAGAAAAAAATCTTAAAAAAAAAAATCTTCCCACAAAGAAGTTGAGTATAGTGGTGCACACCTGTAATCCCAGGTATTCAGGAGGACGAAGAGGATTGCAGGTGGGAGACCAGCCTCAGCAATTTAGCAAGACCCTGTCTCTCAAAGTAAAAATTAAGAAGATTGGGGATATAGCTTGGTGGAAAAGTACCCCAGGGGTCAACCTCCAGGGAAAAAATCTTTTCCACAAAGAAAAGCCCAAACCCAGATGGTTTCAATAGAATATGCAGAAATAATATCTTTTTTTTTTAAACACAAACTCTTGCAGAAAATAGAACATTTCCTAAATCATTCTATGAGGCCAATATTATCTTATGCAAATACAGATAAAGACACAAAGAAGAAAACTAGAGATCAAAATACCTCATGAATGTATACATTAAATTCCTCAATAAAATATTAATAAACCAAATCCAGCAACATATAAGAAGGATTATACATCATGTAGTGGGATTTATCCTGAAAAGAAAGATTTGCTTAATATGTAAACATCAATATAATATACTATAATAAAAGATAAAAAATACATTATCACATCAATAGATACACAAAAAAGTACTTAATAAAATCCAACTATCATTCATAATTAAAAAAAAAAAAAAACCTAACTCTGAACTAGGAATAGAAGGGAACTTCCTCAATCTACCAAAAGAGATTAAAGAGACTCTACAAAAAAACAAAAAACAAAAAACCTAAAAACAAACAAACCCTAATATCATTCCTTCCCTGTACAATTGGGAAGAAGAAAAGGATGCTCCCCTTTGCCACTTCTTTCTTTCTATCTTTTTTTTTAAAGGTGTCATATTTAATATTTATTTTTTAGTTTTCGGCGGACACAACATCTTTGTTTGTATGTGGTGCTGAGGATCCAACCCAGGCCGCATGCATGCCAGGTGAGTGCGCTACCGCTTGAGCCACATCCCCCAGCCCTATCTTTTTAAAAAATATTTTATTTTTTAGTTGTAGTTGGATACAATGCCTTTATTTTACTTATTTATCTTTTTATGTGGTGCTGAAGATTGAACCCAGGGCCTCATACATGCTAGGCACTGAGTGCCCTACCCCTGAGCCACAACCCCAGCCCTCCTCTTCCTCCTCTTTTTCTTCTTCCTCCTCCTCTTCCTTTTCCTCCTCCTCCTCCTCCTCCTACTCTTCTTCTTCTTCTTCTTAATATCTTTTAGTTGTAGATGGACACAATATCTTTATTTATTTATATTTATATGGTGCTGAGGATTTAACCCAGTGCCTCACACATGCTAGGTGAGTGCTCTACCACTGAGTTACAACCTCAGTCCCATTTCTTTCTTTCTTTCTTTTCATTTCTTTTCTCTTTCTTTCTTTTATTTTTCTTTTACTTTTTGCAGCACTGATGATAGAACTTATTACTTTTAAATTTTATATTTTTTAAATTTTGAAAAACGGTCTCACTAAATTGCCCAGGCTAGCCACAAACTTCTGATCCTCCTGCCTCTATCTTCTGCTGGGATTACAGGCATGTGCCACTGCATCCAGCTCCTTGAACACTGTAGTGGTGGTTCTGAGTAGTTGAATCAGGTGAGAAAAAGAAATCCTGATTGAAAGAAGAAAAAAAAAAAAAAAAGGCTAGTCTTCCTTTATCCACAGATGATCTTATCCTGTAAGTAAAAACCCCTAAAACTTCAACAACAATAAAATACTAGAACTGGATAATGAGTTCAGCAAGGTCACAGGATACATTATCAATATGAAAAAGTTAATTATATTTCTATATATTAGCAGTAAGTAATCTAAAATTGAAATTGAGAAAAAAATTCCATTCACAACAGCATGAAAATAATAAATTTGTTAATAGAAATGCAAGACACACACTAATCATTATACAATATTGCTGAGAGGAACTAAAGAAAATTGAAACAAATGGACAAATATTCTATGATCATGAATTCAAATATTCAATATTATTAAGATTGCAATTCTTTTGGAACCAACTACAAATTCAGTGCAAACTCTACCAAAACCCCAATAATCATTTCACAGAAGTTTACAAATATTTCGGAGATACAAATACACTAGCAGATGAAAAAAAAATTGAAAGTGAAAAACATAGCTGACGTACTTATACTTCCCAATTTCCAAACTTACTATAAAACTACAATAATTAATACAATGTAGTATGGCTTGAAGACAGACATATAGAACAAAATTAAAAGTCCAGAAATTAATTCTTAAACTTATGGTCAAATTACTTTTGACAAAGGATAGTCTTTTAAACAAATAGTGAGACAATTGGACAACTTCATAAAAACAGATGAATTTAGACCCTTGCTTTTTAACATACTTATAAATTAACACACAGAATGACATATTCTTTTTGTTTTATTTATTGGGGACTGAACACAAGGACTCACACATGGTAGGCAAGCACTCTACCACTTTTTATTTGGAGACAGGGTCTCATTAAGTTGTCCCAATTGGCCTGGAACCTGTAATCCTCCTGCCTTGACCTCCCAACTTGATAGGATTATAAGCATGTCGCAACTGCCCAGCAAAATGACATACATTTTAAAAATTAAAATATAAAACTTATGAGAAAACAGGAAAAAAATTTTTATGACCTTGGGTTAGGTAAAGATTTCTTAGATATGACACCAAAAGCACACTCAAAGGAAAAAATTTAGTTGGACTTCATCAAAATTTAAAATGTTTATGTTTCAAAAGACATTGTTAAGAAAATGAAAGACATGACAAAGACTGGGAAAAAAATACTTATAAATCATACATCTGATAAAGGATCCTTGTCCAGAATTTGAACCCAAACCGGATTGAAAAACAGCAAAAGCTCTGCATAGACATTACACAAAAGAAATAGGAGTGGCTGATAACTACAAGAAAAGGTATTCAATATTATTAGTCATTAATAATAAAGGACAGCTGTGCATGGTGGCGCACACCTGTAATCCCAGCAGTTTGGGATGCTGAAACTTGAGGATCATGAGTTCAAAGCCAGCCTCAACAATGGTGAGGTGCTAAGCAACTCAGTGAGACCCTGTGTTTAAATAAAATACAAAAAAAAAAAAAAAAAAGGGCTGGGGATGTGGCTCAGTGGTTGAGTGCCCCAGAGTTTAATCCCCTATACCCCCCAAAATAAATAAATAAAGGACAATAATAAGTATCAGGAAGGATGAGGAAAAAGTAAAACCTTCATATGTCATTTGTGGGAATATAAAATAATACAGCTACTTTGGAAAATAATTTGGCAGTTTTTTAAAATGTTAAACATAAATTTATTATATCCCTATCCATTTTACTCGTAGGCATCTACACACACACACACACACACAAAAAAAAATTACCAGCCCCCCCAAAAAAGCATCTACATAAGAGAAATGAAAACACATATCTACATAAAGTCTTGTATGCATTATCAGAATAGCCCCAAGCTGGAAAAACTTCAAATAGTCAATTGGTGAATGGATAACAAAATGAAATATTATTCAGATGTAAAAAAGGAATGGGATACTGATAGATGCTACAATATGAATAAACTCAAAAAACATTATGCTAGACAAAAAAGTCAGGTGATAGAGATCATATATCATATATTCCATTTATATGAATTGTCCAGGAATGGCAAAATTATAGAGGCAGAGAGCAGAGTACTGTTTGCCTGAATCTAGAGGTAGGTACTGAGATCAGGTCACATATAGTGGGTAATAAGCATCTTTTTCAGGAAATGAAAACTTTCCAAAACTGAATTGTAGTGGCATTGGCACAACTCTTAAATTTAGCAAAAATTATTGAGTTTTAGGATATGTATATTATACTTCAAAAGTAGTTTTTTAAAAACTGCATGGATTTGTTCAACTGTTCATGTCTTCCATATATTATTCATTTAATCTCTGCATTTCAAAAATGATAAAACTTTAATCACTCCTGCTCTGCAACCAATTTTTTAACTTATCATTAATTTTTAACAGATTGTAAAAGCAAATTCTCATGAATTGGATTTAGTTTATTTAATCTTTATAATCAAGATGACACTTTTGATAATGGGTTTCTTTCATTCCTCAATAACCCAGTAAGTTGACGTAATCAGGGAAACTGAACGACCTAATGACTCAAACTTCATACTACTTTCCAAAACTATAATAATTCTAAAGCCTCTAAGTCGACTGAGATGTCAAATAAGATGATTTGTACATTCCCTGGTATGTACAGTGTTAAGTCATTGTTTTAATTCTGACATGATATCTGCTTCTGTATCTTGGATTTTTAACCCGTTTTGTCCCCTTTCACATGGACTTATTTTTCCTCCTCAAAAAGTTCCAAACAAATCTATTACCAATCTTTTTCTTCAGAGCTTAAGAATAAAGATTTTTTCCCAATTCATCTATATACCCAAAACATATAGACAATGAAGAGAAATAACTTAAATAACGTTTATCTGTGCTCTGTAGAGAATTTACCCTTGTAAAGAGAGAACTCATGCAGACTCATATTTCTCTGTAGTCCCAGAACATTCCCAATTAGTTATCCTCCCTCCATTTATTTTCCCAAGACTCACCAGTGGCTTTTAGGAGTACCTGGACTGGGCTGTATCTGATTCACAGGGGTCCTGATAGTAGGTCGTATCCCATCACTATTCCCAATCAAACTTAAAAAAAAAGAGAAAAAGCTCTTGATTTGTGGTTTATAGGATGGATCCTGAAATTATAAATATAAACATATAAATATATTTGCAAGTAGAAAAATAAAAATAAGTGCAAAGATTTAATTTAGTATCAGTCTTTAGGTTTCACTTTCTTTCTTTTTTTTTTTTTTAAAAAAAGCTTTATTTTATTTATTTATTTGTTTTTATGTGATGCTGAGGCTCAAACCTAGCACATTGCACATGCTAGGCAAGCGCTGTACTGCTGAGCCACAACCCCAGCCCTCTAGGCTTCAATTTAATTCCAACCACTTTCTTTCCTATATATTTCTAAATGTTAAATTCTGGGGAAATGTAGTTATATTTGAATACTCATTACATTCATTAAAGAACATGTAGGCAGATTTTTTAAAAATCAGCTCTTATTTGGCCTAACAAGGGTATATTTAAATTAAAAATTAAATCAGAGTATTTTTAAAAGTGTGCATTGAATACCCACTCCTTAGCAAACCTTGGAATATTTGGACCCAATAAGAAACAGTCACACACCTTCAAGCTGTTTATAGGCTGTTGCGAATGAACCATAACTATACATAATTTAAATTAGATTGGGATAAGTATCACAATGTTCCAAAAGATAAAACAACAACAACAAAAAAGCAACTGGAAAAGTTTTCAGAGTTGACCGAACACAAAGAAAGTGCCTTAATGGTAATGAATGGCATATCCTGGAGAAGAGTAGTAATAGAATACAGAGAAGAGATCCAAATGAGGTGAGGTGTGGCTGTAGTATTGGGTAAGTGAGGGCATATTGAGAAACCAGGCTGAAGTTTGATTAAAATTGTAATAGTGGCTAATATTTATTGAGCATTTACTATGTGCCAAGTACTATTAAAGCAATAGACATGTGCCAACTTGGTTGATCCTCAAAACAACCCTATGAGAAATGTACTATTATTATTCCCATTTTATAGATGATAATATTGAGGTATAGAATAGTTAAGTAACCTACTCATGGTTACATAGTAACAGCCAAAAGTTACAGAGCCAGGATCTTTAAATGAATAAATAATAAAGACCAAATTCTGTTTCACCCTCAAACACACTACTGTAAGAGAAGTTCATGGGTACCTTAGCTACCTCTTTTCTCATGAATTCCTATGCCAGTTTTCAAGGTCTAGCTCAAATACTGCCTTTACTGCAAAGTCTTTCTGGATCAGCTGAATACAGTTTCTTTCTAAGATTCATAGCACTTTATCTGTAACAGTCTCTTGGCATGTCATAATACTTTGTTTCTGGTGTTACAGACTTTATGTGCATCATCTCTGCTTTCTTATTCTCCTTTAGTCTAATTCACTTTCTACTTTCCACAACTCCCAGGACAGTGCCTAGCATATAATAACACTAGCTAAATTTATGGAATGCCTATTCTTTCCAAGGCATTGTTAAGCATTTTAAAGGAATTATCTCATAAAAACCTTACAGCAACCCAATTCAATAGCTATTTTAGCCTGCTACTGTGACAGATAAAATAATAGATGCACCTTAAACTCAGTGAAAAAGATAGATATAGTTCCTGCCCTCAAGAAAAGGACAGTCTAGAGGGGTTGCTATCTTTTAAGGTATAAAGATGAGGAAAAATGGGCTGGGGTTGTGGCTCAGAGGTAGAGCACTTGCCTAGCACATGCAAGGCCCTGGGTTTGATCCTCAGCACACATAAAAATTAAAAAAAAAATAATTGTTTTAATATAAACTTTTTAAAATATTTATTTTTTTGGTGTAGATGGACACAACACAATGCATTTTATTTTTATGTGGTGCTGAGGATCGAACTCAGGTCCTGCCTGTCCTAGGCGAGCACTCTACCGCTGAGCCACAACCCCAGCCCCAAAAATAATTATTAAAGAAATATTCAAAAAGAAAGAAAGAAAAAGATGAGGAAAAGTGAGACTCAATGAAGTAATTTGCCCAGAACCACAGGAAAAAAAAAAAAAGTGGCAGAGCCAGAATTCAAACCAGCTGCCCAGACTGGATATTCAGGAGACTGTGCACATAATCACTATGCTCTAAAGAAGGCACCTGATAAACATGGGAAGAAAGTTTTGGAATATTCCTAAATTGAAAAAACAATTCAGGGAAAATTCAAGGTTTCATTTTTGGGGGGTGGGGGGTACCGAGGATTGAACTCAGGGGCACTCAACCAGTAAGCCACATCCCCAGCCCTATTTTTTTTTTTTAGAGATAGAGTCTCACTGAGTTCTTCTGTGCCTCACTTTTATTGAGACTGGCATTGAACTCGAGATCCTCCTGCCTTAGCCTTCCGAGCCACTGGGATTATAGGTGTGCATCACCGCGCCTGGCTGCAGGGTTTCTTTCACTGTTCTTTTTTAAGGGGAAAGCAGGAAGTGAGCAAAATCAACAGTAGAGATGGAGGTTGTACTAGTATCCTGATACTCACCTGGCAGTAGCTCATCACTGCTAATCAAGCCCATCTGTTGAGTGAGACTAGCTGAAGACTGAGAATTTCCTTGTGTCCTTTAAAATGACTCCCCCCACCACCACTGATCAGTGTCCTTAAAGTGGGCCTTCTTGAGCATCAGTAGTTTGCTGCTTATAGGGTGGGGCAGCTGAGTCACTATTTAGCACTGAGACCTTGGATTAATCTCCCTTAGAAGAGTGAAAAGGTAACGAAGCACACAGTTCCTTACCTAAAAAAATGGTGCAATTATTCCTTTTTTTCTTTTTAGTTAAATAATGATTTTATCGCTTGAATACATACACAAATTTATGCCACCAAGGCAGAGGCTGTGATGACTCATTTCCAAAATGGTCCTGGGGATTGAACCCAGGGCTTCAAGCACACTAGGTAAGCACTCTATAGACTCAGCCCTATAATTATTCTTGAAAGGTGGATTCAAAATTCAAGAGAAAGGGACCTCCAAAAATGTACGAATTCATTTTTCCCTTGGAGGAGTGAGGAAGCGGCGGTGAGGGGATTGAGAGACCCTACGGCTCTCCAGGCGCCCCCTGCCCTGTGAGACAGGAACACCTATCTTCCGGCTGAGATCAAAGTGTTCCAGAGCCGACAGGCCCGCCTCCCTCCGGCCTCTGTCCGGAGCTGTCAGACTGCCATCTTCGCACCCTCATTGTTTGGCCTAGACTAAGCACGTCCTTTAAAAAAAAAGTGTTTTTAGAGATACCTTAAAAAAATTATAGACCAGTAGAAAGAGGTGCAGGAAGCACTTTAGTCCCAACAATGTTTTAGCCCAACCGGAGACCACCTCACATTACACCAGGTTCACCAAGTTAAGCTGCGAAGTTCTCTTAGGGGCCTTGGCTGCCGGCTCCACCCAGGACCCCACGTCCCGCAGCAGCCAGCCCTACGCCCCGCCCCTGCACCTCGCCCCGGAACGCTGCAGTTATCCAGGCAACCAGAGCTCGGGGACCCGGACTGGACGCGAAGGCGTGTCCGGCCCAGGCGGCGCGCCCCGCCGCCTCGCCCCTCCCCGCCTTCCGCCAATGGTCTGCTGCGCCGGCGCCTGGCGCTCCAGGCCCGCCTCCCTCTCCGGCGGGACGCGTGCGCACTGAGAAGCGGGTCTGGTGAGGGGGTCTCTGCCCTAGGGAGGGGATGCGGAAATGGAGGGGACCAGCGCGCGCAGCCTCGCCCTCTGGCTGGGCGCCCGCTGAGTGCGCGTTGGGGGCGGAAGGGGATCGGTGATCTCCGGGGAGGTCGAGGCCGGGGCTCCCACCCAGAACTGGAGCAGCGTCGCGGCAGCCCGACTGAACCTCTGTGTGTATATATGCCTGCCCAGGGAGACATGGACAACTGTTTCGTCGCGGCGATGCTGACCGGGGTGGACAGACGTTCCCTGCAGCGCTCAGCTAGACTGGGTCAAGAAGTGCTGGAGCGGGCCAAGAGGCGGGCGGTGGACTGGCATTCACATGAGCGCCCCAAAGGCAGCATGGGGATTCTTTCCCGGGAGGGGTCTTACCAAGAAAGACTACTGGCAGCGGGCCCCCAGCCTTTTCTTCCAGTAGAGGTGAGGACCTGGTGCTGGGCGACCAGCCAGTGATTCTGTAGGCGGTGGCCTGCTGGCATCCATGGGCACACCCCACAGAAAGGCCTGAGGGATTCTGCCCGTGTCGGAAAGATGGAAACTATCAGGACAATGAATGGAAAAATCCTTTGAAAAGTCTCCTTTTGACAGATTCTTGTTGGGTAGTTGTAGAACAATGATAGTGCTTGGCCATGGTTGATTAAACAAACAAAAAATTCTCACATAGACACTATATAATATTAGAGGAAAGATAGCAAACTTATTTTTTTAGGTCCTGAATAAATTGCATTTCTATTTTATTGAGTTGAAATTCTTTCTCAGTAAGATCCTTCTTACTGACTTCCAAAAATGAAAAGACTGTTTCCAAAATGGCTTCATTTTGTATCAGGGAATCCTAGGCCTCACTTGTGACTTGCCATTTATTCAAATAGAGAGAAGAAAGGCACCCAACCCTTAGTGCATCCTTCAGAACAATGGCTGAATTCATGGACTATACTTCAAGTCAGTGTGGGGTAAGTTGATGTGAACCAAAGCCATGCCCCTGATCATCAGTGGATGATCACAATGTGGATGTTTCTGGAATTTAGGGAGACTCAGACTCTCCTGAATCTTCTGTTCACCAGGCCTGCACCCAAGTTAGAAGTCATCCAACAAATATTTATTGAATTCCTAACTCTAATTGTTGAGGATACAATAGTGAACAAGCTAGAAAATGTCTCTGCCCTCATTTTCAGTCTAGCGTGTATGGGGATATCTGTTGGATTCTAAAACAGGTCAAATTGCAGGGTGTTGCTGTTGTTTTTCAATATTGAACTGAAGATTAAAAAAAAAAATAGGATCACTCTGAACTGTAACTGGGCCTCTTTTTTTCAGTTTTCATTGAAATATTATGGGCACAGGCCTATAACTCAAATACTCTGTAATCCCAGCTATTTGGGAGGCTGATGCAGGAGAATTGCAATTTGGATGCTAGCCTGGGCAGCTTAGTGAGACCCTGTCTCAAAAATAAAAAAGGACTGGGGGTATAGCTCAGAAGACACAATCCCCAGTATCACATACACACAACAGCAAAACATGTTGAAACACAAACTGAAACACAGTTGCATTAGATCTTAACCTGTAATGTTTGTTTCAAATCCCTGGTGATCAGACTTTATGTCCCAGTGGGTCCATAAGCAGTTGTTGGTGATAAAAGTGGTTATACAGGACCGATGGAATTTCCTGGTCAGGGGTGTGTGATTTAGTGTCAGGAACTACTTCCCAAGAATCATACCCATGTTCTACCACTGTAATGTCTTTGGCCAGTTAGTCTCTCTCAGTCTTTCCTAAACATATGACAAGAACAATGATACGCTGGAGAAAGTACTTCGGGACCTGAAGCTATTTTAGTTTCCCATCATGAAATTAAGAATTCTAAAATCCTTTCCAGCCTTTACAGTTTATTTCTTTGGTTTCCACTGAGAGGAACAGCAGCAAATTTATCACAAACTCTAGGATGCAGGATTTAGGTGAGGTTTTGGTACCATTCATTGAAATGAGTGAACAAATGTTTTAAAGTCCCTCATCTGGGGCTGGGGTTGTGGCTCAGTGGTAGAGCACTTGCCTAGCATGTGTGAGGCACTGGGTTTGATTCTTAGCACCACATAGAAATAAATGAATAAAATAAGGGTCAGTCAACAACTAAAAGTAATTTTTTTTTTTAAGTTCCTCTTCTGAAACCTATGCACTTAGGCCATTTTTAAAGTACTTTTTAGGGACTATTGAAGGCAGGCTAGCCAACATTGAGGGAAATCACCTGCAAGGAAGATACTCTCTATCTTCTTGGATTAACACCAAACTGTTGTTTTCTAGCCTTAACATTTTATGAATCTTTTTTGACTCTGAGGATACTTATCTGTAAGGGAAAAGGAAGAGGATTCCTTGTTTTATTGCTTTTTTCATTTCATATATTAAGATAAAAAAATAAACTCTTAATATTTCTACATCTTTTATAAAAATCATTGTGGAGGCTGGGGTTGTGGCTCACCTAGCACGTGCGAGGCGCTGGTTCGATCCTCAGCACCACATAAAAATAAATAAATAAAATAAAGGTATTGTGTCCAACTGCAACTAAAAAATATTTTTAAAAAAATCATTGTGACCAGAATAAGTATTCCAACCAATGTGATGTTACTCAATATATTTTAATGTTCTCATTTGTACTGAAGTGGTTGTAGAAAAATCCATAACTTTTTAGCTCTATTGTGAAGTGATAAATGCTTGCTTCATGATTTGATAAAAAGAATACAATTTGTCTTTGGTTTGAGGTTTAGCAAATTGGTATTTTTCATGTTGGTTTTCAGTTCATGGTTCAGTTCAAATCTGTTTAGAATAGGTCCAACAGAACCCTTCGGTTTTCTACAGATGTAGGATAGTATTATGGATATGCCTCCACAATTTTGAAGCAGCCCCTACAAGGTATTAGATCCATGTTCTGAGTGCTTTCCCTGGCTTATTCTTCTAGTAATGTGCTTTGGACACTGTCCCTACAGTATGTTCAAAACAAGCAGGCTTGTGATGTCTTCATCATTAGTCATAATCAAGGGCAAATCTGAGGTTAACTTTGAGGGAGGGAAGTAAATAGACAAGAAAAATGTAACTGTTTTCAGATCCTTTGGATTATTATTAAACTGGAGACCTCTCCTTCCACTCCCCTGCATGGGAACCCTAAGGAGAAAGGTTGTATAGCTCTTGGGTTTATGTTTCATTTCCTGCTATATTTCTAAACCTCAAGCAAATGTACCCTTCTTTTCCCATGTCCTTGTCTAAGACTTAGTAAATGGGGAACTGTTCATCAGAACTTGTCAGGGGAGGAAAGGAAAGGGCATCTGTATTTGACATTGAGGCAAAGATGTGAAAAATTATTTAACCTGGCAGAGAACATGGTCCTGCCCAACTTTAATTGGCCAGAGTTCTTGCCCTACTGAGGCAGCAGATGGCAGCAAAGTAATGCCAAATGCAGTTTTCTTCTCTGTAGCCACTTTACATGGCCTAAGGCTTCAGAGGCCTCTCAAAAACCCGTGATTTACTTTTGCTCTCTTGCCTTCCTCCTTAACCATACTTTGCCCAAGCATTGGAGGTTTTATTTATTTATTTACTGAAAAATTGACCAGACTATTTAATTACCCAACATCTTTCACATTACTTCTCTAGAAATATTATTCATCTGTGGCAGAGGAAGGAGGGGCAACCCATGTCTATCGTTATCACAGAGGGAAGTCGGAGCTAGACATGTACTCTTACAGAAGGCATGGTCAGGTATGTGTCTTCAAAACTGTCCTGAATATGCTCTCAGTCTCTCAAGATGTGAGACCTGTTTGGGGGAGTTCCTACTAAACTCTTGGATGCCTGTGTGACTCAGCATTATAGTGCTCAACAGAAAAATATCAACTTGCAGCCTTAGAGAACTTACAGTGTTGAGCATGAAATAGGAATTTGTCTAATCCAAAAGACTGATTTCACTGTAGGCTCTTTAGTTGAACCAGAAATCCTGGGCTAGGGGATTGCTGAATATGCTTAAAAAAAAAAAAAGCTTCACATGTCCTTTTCTGCATCAAGGGATAGAAAAGATATTTTTAATAATTACATATCTTATTAAGATAATGATAGTTATCATGTTTTTGGTAATTTTTAAAAAGGAAGTGCAGCCAAGTTCTTTGGCTCACACCTGTAATCTCAGTGACTCAGAGGCTGAGGCAGGAAGATCAGAAGTTTGAGGCCAGCCTCCTGAACTTAGGGAGACCTTGTCTTAAAATAAAAAAACAAAAAGGGCTGGGAATATAGCTGGATTTCCAGCTATTTACTAAGAGCACCCCTGGATTCAATCCCTGTTCTCTCCTACCTCCCCGGACCAAAAAAAAAAAAAAGTGTAAGGGAAGGGGGGTCTCAAAATCCTTTTTTGTTTTGTTTTGTTTTTAAGACAGGGTCTTTGGGACTGGGGATGTGGCTCAAGCGGTAGCGCGCTCGCCTGGTACGCGTGCAGCCCGGGTTCAATCCTCAGCACCACATACAAACAAAGATGTTGTGTCTGCCGAAAACTAAAAAATAAACATTAAAAAATTAAAAAAAAGACAGGGTCTCCCTATGTTGTGCATGCTGGTCTTGAATTCCTGGGTTCAAGTGATACTTTTTCTAAAGATAGTAACAGTTACAGGCCTCTCACTCACTACCAACCTGTTCACATGTCAAATTTTGGGGAAGCCAAATGTTCTACTTGTTAAATGGGAGGTGGTGGTGGTAGTTTTCAAGGGGAGAATAGGCATTTTGTTTTTCTTGAATTCCTCTAGTTGTACCCAAAAAACTTAAGTCTGATCCTAATCCTCATGTCAGACTCCTGACTTCTCTGGCATGTGGGTCACCTTGGGGTATCAGAGCAAAGAGTTTTAGGAAAAGTATAGGCAGTGAGCGCAGGGATATGAAGCAGGGCTGAGCACAGACTGGAGGCATCTCGTTTTTTCCTGGGATATGGAGAGCTGTAGGAGTTTGCATCCTGGATTCCCTTTGGGGGCCTCATCAGAGCACCTTAAGTGCACCTGACCTTTTGTTGTTACCTGTTGGGTAGTCATTTCTCTATATATGTAAAATTTAAGTTGTGACTCTAAGGGAATTGGCTCTGTCAGCCTGTTCCCTTCTAGTACCCATACTCCTAGAAGCACAGAAGAGAATACTTTCTGAGCACTGCCTGAGTGTTATCACTTGTGCACTTTCAGTCCTCCCAAAAATCCAAATAGCCCCATGTTATAGTCTAGGAAACTAAAGCTTATTAAAAGAGGTTTATCTATCTGACTTTGGAAATAGTATTTAAATTCAGGCCTTTCTGACTCCAAAGCCCATATAAGGATAAAAAGTAATCATGGTAAGCATCTGACTAAAAATAACTCAGACTTCACTAAAAAGAGCCTTAATAACTTCGATGATAACTTAGAAATAAGTGTACAGAAGAATTCTCCTAATAAGGCCGGAGAAAATTTCTCTTTATAACACATAAGTCAAAGTTTGCGCACTGATCAATATTTGTCTCTTCAGAAAAATGACAGAGAAAAGACATCCCTCAGTTCAGGAAGCATCTATGAAACATTAGCACATGCTGCAGAGTCATCCCAGCCGGTGAGTACAGAGCTGCTAGTGTGCTGCGCTTCACAACCATTGCAATTCCATGAACCATTTGACCTGTTAACTATAGGGCTGTTTGTATTGAATCTGTAGAATTTTCAAGTTGTGATGATTTTACACTCAAGGAAGGTGAACAAAATTTTGGTTCAGTGTAAAGTTGTGTTTTATTGGTATCCTTCTTTCAAAATTTCAGACATGCTCTTTGTGCCTGAATTCATAGCTGTGGTTGGAAAGAATGTGAAGTATTCACATCTCCTTTCCTAAGGCTCAGCTGGGCTGGCACTGGGTCCTGCTGGAATTTCACCATCTGTTCAAGCAGCAGGAGGGCCTGACCTTGCTTGCTTTTATAAAGTGCAACTGTTGCTAAAACTCTGAAACATATACATTTGGTGAGATATCAGGTTCCAAAACATTTAAAAGCATGTTTCCATTTTCTCTAAAAAATGTATAATGATGAGTATTTCATTTTTTGGGTAAATTACTCATTAGTGGGCTGGGGATGTGGCTCAAGCGGTAGCGCCCTCGCTTGGCATGCGTTCGGCCCAGGTTCGATCCTCAGCACCACATACAAACAAAGATGTTGTGTCTGCTGAAAACTAAAAAATAAATATTTAAAAAAAAATTACTCATTAGTTTATGAGCCTCAAAGAATCTTTTGGAACTTGGAAGGGCTGGAATTCTGAGGAAAGGAACTTCAGCATGTTGCTACAATAAATTTCTTTTTGTTTATATTCAGTTTGCTGGGAGTCATGATTTGGAATATAATAGCATTAGTAGCAACTAAGAATATTCTGTTTCTAGTACAAATATAAATCATTAGGCTTAGATGCCTCCATCATTGCTGATTTTAGGTGATGCTAATCTTCCTGATGTTCTTTAGTGTTGGAGTCACAGATATAGTCTTACCCCAGTGTTAATCTTAATTACAGAGCATCTTTTTATAATTAGGGCATTGTCATATATATTCACATTTGTTAAATAATAGACCTCCAGTTTTGCAGTAACTGGGAATACAAGGATATAACATAAAATAACTTTTGTAAAGTCAGCTTCAAATCTATCTGAAGGCCAAGGCAGGGAGAGTTTCATAAATATTTATTCTTGCTGGTGGATTTGCTGGTGGTCAGTAGTTTCATTTTTCCTGGTGTATCTCCTTCTGAATATTCACCAAACATAAATGAGCATCATAGCTGACACTTTGCTGTTACTGGCTCTTTTCTGGTTTGTGACTTCTATCTTTTTGCCTTCTTTACTGAAACCATTTTCTGCCTGCACACCTGCCATGATCCACTTCCCAACCATGTATGAAGTTTATTTCATAAAATGATTTGCACTCAGATCAGCTCTAAACTCATTAACTCCAGCTTCCAGCGTAGAACCATTCCTCCAGCTACTTGCTGCTTCAGTGACATCCATTCATATTGTTTTTAGCTTTAGGAGAAAAGAAGTGCTTAATCTTCTTGATAACAAATTTAGCAAAACACAATAAAAAAGAATGTTTCCCATTATCCTAGGGACCTTGTCATTACTGTCAATCTCTGCTTACAAGTGCAAAACAATGACCATTAGTCTGTCCCTCTGCCTAATTCTTACCCCAACTAGAGTGTTCTTTTATAATCCTTCATATTTCTATAACACTTTAACATTCACAAAGTGTTTTCTGCTTATTTGTGAGGTGGATATTATCACAACTTTCGAAATAAGGAAACAAGCTTAAGGAAAGGCTGAGGTTTATCTAAATGACATTGCTATTGTATGACCAAACTGAGCCTTGAAAACAGAACTTCTATCTCCTCCATCAGTCCTTTATTCCATCATACCTCTGGCACAAAGGTAGCCTAGTGGAGGTGCTGTGTTGGCATTGAGATATAAATTCTTTATGGTGTCTTCTTTTCCTTTCAGGCTGAGAACATCTCAAAGGACCTCTACATAGAAGTATATCCAGGGACCTATTCTGTCACTGTGGGCTCAACTGCCTTGACCAAGAAGACTCATGTAGTAGCAGTTGATTCAGGACAAAGTGTGGACTTGGTCTTCCCTGTATGATGTTGGCCTTCACTGCTATCACATCACTCTTTTTTAAGTAGCAAGGAGAATAAAGTCACCATATGATTTTCTTAAAAACTACACATTAATCCTGCTTTTAGTGCTGACTGTAGAGGCCAGCCTTCTTGGGAACTGGAATCTGTCTCTTTCAGTCCCATTTTAACTTGAGAGTCCCCCATCCTCCTTTGCCTAAAAGTAATAATGTGATGATGCTGTCTGAACAGTTTTTACTACTAGCTTTCCAAGTAAAGTCTAATTATGATAATAAAGGGAAAGATTTGGAAACAGAGAATTCATTTTATTGCTATTAAAAAGAGGTCAATGTTCCCCATGTACAACTGTAGGTTTTATGAAAAGACAGCAGAGATGCTGTGGAGACATTTGCCCAAAGCAGGTCTACTATGGGTCTTCCAAAGTGGCCTCTGTGGAAGTGGCATTCTCAAGCAGTGCCACCAGACAGAGCCACTGGCTCCTGTGCCCCTTATGAGTGGTGCCTTCCTGCTGCTCATCTGCAGGGAAGTCTTAATGGGGTGAAGATGCTGCTGCTTACTTGATTCTCACCTGCAGCCTGTGTTCTACCTTCCATTGAAGAAGGTCTTGTCAGCCACTCTTTATAACTCTTCGTTAGGTATTTACTATCATAATCCTTTGAAAGAAAAATCCTGAGTCTCATGCTAAAATTCTAAGGATCAAGGGCTGGGGTTGTAGCGCAGTGGTAGAGCACTTGCCTTGCACACATGAGGCACTGGATTCAAACCTCAGCACCACATAAAAATAAAAATAAAGCTATTGTGTACATCTACAACTAAAAAAAATATATTTTTAAATATTTTAAAAATTTTAAGGATCAAAAATCACTGGATTTAAATCCAAGAATCATTTGGATTTAATTTTTTAAAAAGTCATTGATATATCCCAAGACTTTATATCACACCAACAGCCTATTGAATCATATCATTTTGAACATAGCTAATCTTTCCTTAGGAAAAATGCTACATATTATCTGACAAAAATAAAGTTTTAAATAGATCTATAATAGCACTCCTGCAAGGAACAGACTCACCTAGACAGAAGGCCTACTAAAGCACACCTGTGTCTAATGTCATGGGACAGCATTATTTAAATGGAGAGCCTTCCTTGTACCTCCCTTCCCACAAGAAACTGATGATGAGTTTCATGGTTTCTATAAGCCTTCTGAAATTATATACAAAATTATGAATACAATTTTCTGGAAAAGGGAGCCCTGGGTTTTATAACTCACACAGTGATTGTGACTCCAGACAGATTGAACTATGTAAGGAGCCCCTGAAATGACCCTTCTCAGCCATTCTGCTTTACCTAGACCACCCAGGGCTTTTAGTTTGAATTCTTGGGAATTCTTGTCCCTTGGATGTGTCCCTGACTTAGTTTTCTATGTTCAGCTTCCTCTGGCAGGGTCTGCAGTGGCTTCATATTGGTTGCTTTCAGGGTCAGCTCCTTGGTAGTCCTCACTACTGCAGTTTGTACTTTCTGCTGTTTGTTGTCCTTCTCTTTCCAGATGTTGCAACCTCTTGTTCCTAAATAAAAAATAATTAGATATGGTGAATATGCTACAATTTTGATGAGATTGGTCTTTATGACAAGTGGAACTACATTAAGGGTCACTGAACTTAAGCATCTGTAAGCTGCTGGTATTATTCTGTATCTTTATTTTTATTTATTTATTTATTTTTTATTGTTGGTTGTTCAAAACATTACATAGTTCTTGATATATCATATTTCACACTTTGATTCAAGCGGGTTATGAACTCCCATTTTTACCCCATATACAGATTGCAGAATCACATCAGTTACACATCCATTGATTTACATATTGCCATACTAGTGTCTGTTGTGTTCTGCTGCCTTTCCTATCCTCTACTATCCCCCCTCCCCTCCCCTCCCCTCTTCCCTCTCTGCCCCCTCTACTGTCATTCATTTGTCCCCCTTGTATTATTTTTCCCTTTCCCCTCACTTCCTCTTGTATGTACTTTTGTATAACCCTGAGGGTCTCCTTCCATTTCCATGCAATTTCCCTTCTCTCTCCCTTTCCCTCCCACCTCTCATCCCTGTTTAATGTTAATCTTCTTCTCATGCTCTTCGTCCCTACTCTGTTCTTAGTTACTCTCCTTGTATCAAAGAAGACATTTGGCATTTGTTTTTTAGGGATTGGCTAGCTTCACTTAGCATAATCTGCTCTAATGCCATCCATTTCCCTGCAAATTCTATGATTTTGTCATTTTTTAATGCAGAGTAATACTCCATTGTGTATAAATGCCACATTTTTTTAATCCATTCGTCTACTGAAGGGCATCTAGGTTGGTTCCACAGTCTTGCTATTGTGAATTGTGCTGCTATGAACATCGATGTAGCAGTGTCCCTGTAGCATGCTCTTTTTAGGTCTTTAGGGAATAGACCGAGAAGGGGAATAGCTGGGTCAAATGGTGGCTCCATTCCCAGCTTTCCAAGAAATCTCCATACTGCTTTCCAAATTGGCTGCACCAATTTGCAGTCCCACCAGCAATGTACAAGTGTACCCTTTTCCCCACATCCTCGCCAGCACTTGTTGTTGTTTGACTTCATAATGGCTGCCAATCTTACTGCTCAAGGGAACCATACACCAACAAGACATAACAATCATAAATATATATGCCCCTAACAATGGTGCAGCTATGTTCATCAAACAAACTCTTCTCAAGTTCAAGAGTCTAATAGACCACCATACAATAATCATGGGAGACTTCAACACACCTCTCTCACCAATGGACAGATCTTCCAAACAAAAGTTGAATAAGGAAACTATAGAACTCAATAACACAATTAATAACTTAGACTTAATTGACATATATAGAATATACTACCCAACATCAAGCAGTTACACTTTTTTCTCAGCACATGGATCCTTCTCAAAAATAGATCATATATTATGTCACAGGGCAACTCTTAGACAATATAAAGGAGTAGAGATAATACCATGCATCTTATCTGATCATAATGGAATGAAACTGAAAATCAATGATAAAAGAAGGAAGGAAAAAGCATACATCACTTGGAGAATGAACAATAGGTTACTGAATGATCAATGGGTTATAGAAGACATCAAGGAGAAAATTAAAAAATTCTTAGAGATAAATGAAAACACAGACACAACATATCGGAATCTATGGGACACACTGAAAGCAGTTCTAAGAGGAAAATTCATTGCGTGGAGTTCATTCCTTAAAAAAAGAAAAAACCAACAAATAAATGATCTCATACTTCATCTCAAAATCCTAGAAAAAAGAAGAGCAAAACAACAGCAAAAGAAGTAGAAGGCAAGAAATAATTAAAATCAGAGCTGAAATTAATGAAATCGAAACAAAAGAAACAATTGAAAAAATTGACAAAACTAAAAGTTGGTTCTTTGAAAAAATAAACAAAATCGACAGACCCTTAGCCATGCTAGCAAAGAGAAGAAGAGAGAGAACTCAAATTACTAGCATACGGGATGAAAAAGGCAATATCACAACAGACACTTCAGAAATACAGAAGATAATAAAAAATTATTTTGAATCCTTATACTCCAATAAATTAGAAGATAGTGAAGGCATAGATAAATTTCTTAAGTCATATGATCTGCCCAGATTGAGTCAGGAAGATATAGACAACCTAAACAGACCAATATCAATTGAGGAAATAGAAGAAACCATCAAAAGACTACCAACTAAGAAAAGCCCAGGACTGGATGGGTATACAGCAGAGTTTTACAAAACCTTTAAAGAGGAACTAATACCAATACTTTTCAAGCTACTTCAGGAAATAGAAAAAGAGGGAGAACTTCCAAATTCATTCTACGAGGCCAACATCACCCTGATACCTAAACCAGACAAAGACACTTCAAAGAAAGAAAACTACAGACCAATATCTCTAATGAACCTAGATGCAAAAATCCTCAATAAAATTCTGGTGAATCAGATACAAAAACATATCAAAAAAATTGTGCACCATGATCAAGTAGGATTCATCCCTGGGATGCAAGGCTGGTTCAATATACGGAAATCAATAAATGTTATTCACCACATCAACAGACTTAAAAATAAGAACCATATGATCATCTCGATAGATGTGGAAAAAGCATTCGACAAAGTACAGCATCCCTTTATGTTCAAAACTCTAGAAAAACTAGGGATAACAGGAACATACCTCAATATTGTAAAAGCAATCTATGCTAAGCCTCAGGCTAGCATCATTCTGAATGGAGAAAAATTGAAGGCATTCCCTCTAAAATCTGGAACAAGACAGGGATGCCCTCTCTCACCACTTCTGTTCAACATAGTTCTCGAAACACTGGCCAGAGCAATTAGACAGACGAAAGAAATTAAAGGCATCAAAATAGGAAAAGAAGAACTTAAATTATCACTATTTGCAGATGACATGATTCTATACCTAGCAGACCCAAAAGGGTCTACAAAGAAACTATTAGAGCTAATAAATGAATTCAGCAAAGTGGCAGGATATAAAATCAACACGCATAAATCAAAGGCATTCCTGTATATCAGCGACAAATCCTCTGAAATGGAAATGAGGACAACCACTCCATTCACAATATCTTCAAAAAAAATAAAATACTTGGGAATCAACCTAACAAAAGAGGTGAAAGACTTATACAATGAAAACTACAGAACCCTAAAGAGAGAAATAGAAGAAGATCTTAGAAGATGGAAAAATATACCCTGTTCATGGATAGGCAGAACTAACATCATCAAAATGGCGATATTACCAAAAGTTCTCTATAGGTTTAATGCAATGCCAATCAAAATCCCAACAGCATTTCTTGTACAAATAGAGAAAGCAATCATGAAATTCATATGGAAAAATAAAAGACCCAGAATAGCAAAAACAATGCTAAGCAGGAAGTGTGAATCAGGCGGTATAGTGATACCAGACTTCAAACTATACTACAGAGCAATAGTAACAAAAACAGCATGGTACTGGTACCAAAACAGGCGGGTGGACCAATGGTACAGAATAGAGGACACAGAAACCAATCCACAAAACTACAACTATCTTATATTTGATAAAGGGGCTAAAAGCATGCAATGGAGGAAGGATAGCATCTTCAACAAATGGTGCTGGGAAAACTGGAAATCCATATTCTGTATCTTTAAAGAGAAATAAACTTTGTTAATCACTTCTGGCCATTATTTTTTTGAGGAAAGGTCATTATCTAATACCCAAATTTGGAGTTGGGAGGGAAGAAGTTATCAGAGTTCTTTTAAACAGCCAATAGAGGAAACAAATTAACCAGTTGCCTCTAATTGAAGAAGCTTCTACTCCTTCACTAATCAATAACATTGATTACAAAGGAAAGATAGTAGGCTGATGGTTTTAAAAAATAAGTTTTAAGAAGTTGAATAATGGGCTGGGGTAGTGGCTCAATGGTAGAGTGCTTGCCTAGCACATATGAGGCACTGGGTTCAATTCTCAGCACCACATAAATAAATAAAGGTATCGTGTTCATCGACAATTTATTTTAAAAAAAAGAGTTAAATGAGACAAAAATCTAATGGAACTTCTGTGGAACAGAAGAACAATCTAAAAAGGGAGGAATTCTTAAATTTTTTAATATTGCAGATTGAATCCCGTTTCAGTCTTCAGGGAAGCGAGCACCATGAGGGATGGCAACCCACAATCTGCCTCCCTAGGATTTCTGGGATCAGTGACCTCTTGCTGCCTATGCTGAAAGAAACTAAGAGGTTTCATAAGAGGCAGGCTGAAGACCATCAAGCTTTAGTGTTTGACCGCACTGAGATCAAATGCTGTCAGATCAAATACTGTCAGATCAAGTACTGATATCTAGTACTGATTAAATACCAATCATTTAGGAGAAGCAAAGCAGCACATTTTCTTTAAAGTCTGGAGGGGAGAATAAAGCTGTAATTTGTCATTGTTTCCAGCCGTGGTCTATACATGGTTTGATACACTTCAACTTTTCTACTTAGCTGACAGTCAGTATTGCATCTGTGACAAGGGCTGGGGATGGCCCCCTTCTCAAGGCCCCATCTCAGGCCTGCTGTCCAAAGATTAGGGAACATGCCTGATGATGCTCAGGGTTCAGACCTGGAATTAACTTTCCCTGAGGCATAGCAAAAGAAACAGTACTTAAAAAGATAGTATATTTATCTTCTTTACAGTCAATTATTAGAATTGGGGGGTAATGGATTGAATCTGTTTAAAATGTATTGATGGGGAGAGAGACTAAATATAGGTTTTAAGTGACTTTGGGCAGTGGAGATAAGAGTGGTGAATGTGTAGAGCCAGGGAAAATTTGGATTTTAATTTGGAACCATTCTAGAGATTGCCATGGAGCAAGCCACAGCCGCAGAATGCAGACATGGTAACTGGGGCCTGACTACCATGTAGCCTCTGGTCGCCCTTTTATTGTTCCCTTCTCTTGTGCTAGGCCTGGTGCTATCTCAATTGTTCCCACCAACTTTTCTGTTGGATAAGTACAGATTTTGTTTCTCCAGGCTGTGCTGAAGCAAGAGACAGTAGAAGCTATGGAAAAGTTTGTACAAAAACAATTTTGGCACCATTTTTTTATGTTATCACTCATTGGGAGGGCAGATCTTAGAGCTGTTTCCAAGTAGCTGTTGCCAAGGCTTACCATTGTGAGAACAGAGTGATCCATTTCATCGAAGTTCAAGGCCTTTCCCCTCCACCTTATATTTTCAATACACAGTTTCCTCTTGGAGAGAGGAGGAAGATCTCAGCTGACCATAAGTGAATTGTTATGCTTCTGTTTCCCTATCAGAGGTGGGGAAAAGATCCCACAGCTTGGAAACCTGAGAAAGCTGCAACCCTCATAAAATACAACTACAGCTGACTGATATACACTCCCACCTATGCCAAAAACCAGGGGTTCAGAGGAGTCACCCAAGAAAGTTTCTTTTTGAAAAAATAATTTCTCAACTTTCTGGAGGTAAAAACTTATAAAGCCCTTACCCCTGGGGCAAGAGTGACATCCTCATGGGCTGAGCAGTCCTTCTAGCTGAGCTATCCTAGAAATAAGGCAATGGCTCCAAATAAGGACTCCCTGTGAGTCCCATTGTGGGCAGTGGCTAGAGACCCCTAAGCCCTTAGCAGTGATGTTCTTTAGTGCTCACAGTATGCCTGCCCCAGATGCCTCTGCAATGAACATTAAATCAGTGTCTCCAGGGCTCCAAGAATCTAGCCTAAGGCTGGGCTTATCCAGGCCCCTTTCTCCACACAGCTCTGCCAATTGACCTAGGCTTCTGTTCTTTCTAGGCCCTATTAGGAATTTAGATAGAATGGGTCTGGAGCAGATTAATAATATGCTGCTTCTCAAATACATCAAGCCATGTCATAGTCCTCAGTTCGAAGTAAAGAAGCTTGGGAATGGCAGCATGACAATTTAGCATGGTTTCCTCTATTAGTTGTAAAGAATTGCATGAGGTCGTGCTTTGTCCTTCCCATTTTGACTTACTATGGGGCTCATCTGGAGAATGTGGCCTGATGACCAATGTTTTTAAGGACCTATTTCTATGCTTCTCATGGCCTCAACTCAAATCTCAACACCTGGAGGCATTTTTAACTGTTCAACTAGAGAAAAATCAAGGCCTCCAGGGGAAAAAAAAGGAGGGAGCAAACATGGACAATGGCAGTTTCCTCTCAAAAGAGATTGGTAAAGAAAGAAAAAAATATCAAACCTTAGCACAAAGGATAGCCCATCCTTCCTCTCTCAGTTTAAATGGAACCCTATAACTTCTGTCTTCTCATAGTCTCCCCTTCCACTTGGCTGGTCTCCAAAGTATTACTCCCAAGCCCAACAGAGTGGACAGGTGCATCCAATTGCTAAGACACACATGGATGGGGAGCCTCAGACCTATCTTGGAAGACAACGCAGTGCCTTTGGTTTACCTGGTTTCCCAGGACGTGGTTCAGATCCATTCCTCCTCCAATACCTCCACTCAGGCTGGCAGGGGCCACTCTGCCTCCAACACTTCTCAGGAAGGATGGGGTCAGTGTTGACTGCGCTGTTCACCATCAGTTTCTGGGGAAGGCCCATCTCCAGCTCATTATCTGACTCTTCACAAGAAGAAGGGGAGGAGGAAGAAACAGCCATGGGAGCATGCACTGCTACTGCCTCCTCTTTAGAACCCTCCAGAGGCAAAAGTTGTGCTGTGGGCTTCAGTCCTGACTCCAGGAATTCCCTGGCTGTGATCTCTGAAGTCCTAGTTAGAGGCCACCAGGTGGGGCCCATCAAGGAACAGCAGCAGAAGCAGCCCTGGCACAGCAGCCGGCAGCAGGCATGGGGTTGGCAGGGAGGGCACAGGAAAGGAGCATCCAGAGGAGGCAGGTTGGTGGTGCATCCAGTGACTGGCCCCAACAGAGAGCAGCAAGGGGCCCAGAGGAGTGGACTGAGGTCCTCCCTGGTGCAAGGCCAGTGCAGCCTCTCCACAACCTTCTTCCAGGCAGCAGGGGGCACCCACCTGACCCCACCTTGAGGTACTTTAGCTGTCTTGCCATTCCAGAAGTGAACAGTGATTTCTTCCTTTGATGCTAAATAACAGAAAAAAACAACATTTTGTTACAATTACCTCTTCTTTGGGTTAGAATAATAAGAGTTCTCCCATCCACAAAGGCAAAAAGCCTCAGCTGAATTCTCTGCTCTGTTGCCTGGATCCTCACACACCCTTCTCTGAGATCCTGTACAAGTGTTGGCGCCTGAGAAAGCTGTAGCCCTCATAAAATACAACCTCAGCTGACTGATAAACACTCCCACCCATGCCAAAAACCAGGGTTCAGAGGAGTCACCCAAGAAAGTTTCTCTTTGAAAAAATAATTTCTCAACTTTCTGGGGGTAAAAACTTATAAAGCCCTTACCCCTGAGGCAAGAGTGACATCCTCATGGGCCCCTGATCACCACTTCCTTATAGACCTGTGGGCTTCAGTCCTAGACCCTAGAGGACTTGGTGAGGGATGAATGGTGACTCCTGGTGTGAATCCAGGAATAATCCCACCACACTGTGGTTCAGCTAATGGTAGTTGGGAGTTATTTTCCCTAAAATATAAAAGTTATGAACATGCATCTGTTGCTACCCCCAAGTTAAGCAGCAAGTGATGGCATAAAGATTCTTTTTTAAAAAATATTTTTTAGTTGTAGTTGGATACCATACCTTTATTTTATTTATTTATTTTTATGTGGTGCTGAGAATCGAACCCAGTGCCTCACACATGCTAGGCGAGCACTCTACTGCTGAGCCCCAGCCCCAAGATTCTTTCTTTAATGGCTTTCAGTCTATATGCTCTGGCTTTATCCCCAGCCTGGCTCCTTCTGGGGACTGATGGGTCAGAGAAGCTTCCCTTACCTCTCTGAGGATCTTTTGTCTCCAAGCCTAAGAGAACAGTGCCAGGACCATACCGCTGTCGGTCTGCCTCCCAGGGTGCCAGCACCTTGTCCCCAGGTTGCAGTGAATAGTCTCTGGATGGTGAGAGTTGAATGACATCTTCTTCTAAGACCACACTCTGCTTCTGGGGTGGCAGGTTTGGGCACATTACAAGGGGAACTTCATATTCCACAAGCAGAATCCCCTGCTTTTCTAACTATGGGAAAGACAACAGAGTAAGATTTGGCATTAGAAAGTACAATAGGGAGCACCCAGATTCCCTACAATGACCCAGAACCAGGCCAAGGTTCTTCCTAACCAAGAGTAAGGACCCTTCAAATAAAGGTCAGGACTGGGGCAGTGCTGCTTAGAGATGAAAGAAGTGGAGACAGGGAGGGTAATGGGACTATTGTTCTCTCTACTTCCTGCAATGGGCAACCCTTATTTATTACCACATTCTGTCTTTCTCTTTCTGTTCTCTTATTTTTCTTTCCTCCAACCAAATATTTGGTCTACAATTCCCAGGAGTAACCTGGGTTCTCTGGACTTTTCTCTCCTTCCAATACTGCCAAATGTGTTCCAGAGTCTAAAACCAACTGGGGATAGTTCATCATTGATTTATGAGGCCCACATGGGCTAGGTGTGATTGTGGCCAGAGGGCAGTCCCCAAGCTACCAGCAGCAAGAGGGAAGGTTTAAGTAAATAAATAGTATACAACAGAAAAAGTACTTCAGCTAATTCAAAATAGAAGTTGGTTTGAGTACTCAATATGATTTTGAAGAGAAAATCAAGTTATAAATAATTTAAACCAATCACAAAACAGGACCTGTATAGTAGCAAAATTCTGCTAACATTTGAATTGATCTACTAGTTGCTTGAAAATAGTAAAATGACTTCTGATTGGAAATCCTATAATTCATATTTTTTGAGAATTCACATTATCCTCCTTCCATCAATTTACAAAGTCTGACTTTGAAAAGTCCCAAAGAGGTAAGAAGCCCCTGAAGTAAAGTCCAGATCAGGTTCCTAGTGTGCCAGGAATGAGCCTCTGTGTGCAGGAACAGGAACCCACGTGTGCCTAAAGGCATGTTTTTCTCCTTTTCTCTAGGCAAGTGGCAACAATTCAATACACTGATTTTCCTGAGCAAAGTACTTTAAATGTACATTTTCTTTACTGTTATGTGTTGAATTGTGTTTCCCTTTCTCCAAAATTCACCATCTCATAATATGACTTTTTTTGGGAAGGGATATGATTATTACAGGTTAAAATTAGTTAAGATGAGGTCATAATAATCATGGAAGGTCCCCAACCAATGTGACTGATGTTCTTATAAAAGAGGGAAATTTGGACAGAAACATGCTCAGGGAAAACGCCATATGAAGTTGAAGGCTGAGATCAGTGTGATGCAAGCCAAGGAATATCAAAGACTACTAGCAAACACTGAAGCTAGGAGAGGGGCAGGAAACAGATTATTCCTTAGAGCCCTTAGAAAGAACCAAATGCTGCCAATACCTGGACTTCAAGAAATGTGAGACAACTGACTTCTATTATTTAAGCTGCTCAGTTTGTGTGCACACAGCTCTAGCAAACTAATATGCTCACTGATACTCTATGTTCACTTCTACAGTCTGGCTATGGGAGACCTGTGCTTATCTAAGAAACTGAACTGCTGGACACACTTAGTAGCTAAGACTAATCAGATAGAATAGGATCACCTAGAGGAGTGTACTAGGGGGATGCTGGGAGTCAGGGACTTGCCTCTGGAGCTGCCTTTATTTGAGCCAGGTAATAAAAGCCATCTGGTTCCCTTCTAGCCAGGACCCAAGTGTCAGTGGCACCTCCAACTCTTCCCAGCCATCCAGGCCCCTGCCATGCTGGGTCAGCAATGTGGAGATACTGGTGATAAGAAGAATACCTGGAAAAAAGCAAATTTAGGGGGATGAACAACAACCTCCAAAACATTAAGGACCACTTTTCACAGATCTGAGGAGTGCCAAGGCGTGTGAATTCACATTAGCGTATGTGGAATAGTAATCCATGAGGAATGTGGCTATCTATGACTTCTAGTAAGATAAGGTAAGCTTTTTGGGAAGGACAAATGGTAAGGACAGTGAAGGGAACCATAATTTTTAAATTGGAAATAGTTCCAAGATAACCAAAACATAATTATCCTTGATACATTCAAATTAATTAATGTTTGTTCTGAAACTAAAAATACAGACCAGAAAAGGGTACCACGAGGTAAACCCTAAAGCTATATATGAGATTTCAGAATGAGGAAAGGAAGTGTAGACTGCAATGCCAAAGGAGCAAAGTTGTAAAGCACTTGGCATTAGGGGCTCAGAAGGATGAATTAGTGCAGGAGCAGAGGCAGCACAGAGGAGCTGCCTAAGGTGCTGTGGTGCAGAAAAGGAGAGGCCAGTGCAGAAAAGGAGCGGGTGGGCAGGGCCAGCTGGTATGGGGGAGCTGTTGCCTGAGGGTTAAGGTTTTTAAAGAAACTGTTTTGTAGACAACAATGAACACAAAGATGCTTAATTTGGACTTAAACAGGATGGTAGAAATAGGTGAATCGAAAAAAGGAGCACTAAAAGTCTGTTGCTAACCCAGGCAGACTAATAATGTTCAGTAGCATGGACTGATCCCTGGAATTTACACAATTTGTAACAGCTATAGGCTGAGGTTGCTTGGCCCCTTTGTAGTCACACTTTAAACAAATGACTGAGGATATTATTCAGAAAAATCCTGAACAGTTGAGGATTTTCAATTGTCTTATAAGCCCCTCAGCTGTGTGCTCAGTTAATCTCTGCACTTCAGTTACTGCTCAGCAGATAAACACGGAAAGTGCCTTGCATATAAGTAGCTCAATGTATGTTAGTGTTTTCCTCCTTCCTCCAACCCAGAGGTGGGACTTCTGGGAGTAAACCTGTTTTTTCCTTCACAAAACTTAACCCTGATGACAATTGAAATTCATATAGGATGAATACTGAGGGGATCTGGGGAGAACCTAGATATACCACTTTAGTTGTTGGTTTTAGAAATTCTAAGTCTCATTGCCACAGCAAGTCTTATAGTTGATGGCAAAATGAGTTAGAAACTTTGGAACTGGTCATCGCTGAAAGCCTTCTCTCACAGATGCCAATTGTGAAAGCCACAATTAGAGTGAGAAGCCACTAAGGTAAAGCCCAGGGAAGGACAAAAGCCAGGCAACCTGGGTCACTGGTAGTACCACTTAGGCCAGGGTAATATAGACTTATACCCCACACAACAGGCCAAACAGTAAAGAGCCCTGTCAGCCTACACAGAAAGCAAGTTCTCTCCTCATGAGACTCCATCTAGAACTAAGAACAAAGGGAAAAGAAAACAGCCACCACTCCCTCCAGAGTTGCTGATGCTGGTACCTTGTGAGAGCATGGTGCCTGGGGATGTAGGGTGCTCGGAGGGCAAAGGGGCAGGTGAAGGAGAGATCCCAGAATGGAGCAGCACAGTTACAGCCAGGGGTCTTCAGTGTTGTGGCCACACTGCAATATTTGGGCAAAGGCATTCCGAGCTGGGTAGAGGATTGCATGGCCTTCCGAGAGACCACCTGGAACAAGCACCAGCGTTACTAGAGCTACAGCCCACAGCCCAGCAAAGGGCACCTGGTGTGGGGGGGACTCACCTCCAGATTAGCTGTCTCAGGGACAGCTGCATCCTTGTCCCTCCATCACCCACAAGACCCCCAGTTCTTCTTTGGATCATCTGTCTCAGAAACCTCAGCTCAGGAGATAGGAGGGGTTGTAAGAGCAGGAATTGTGGTTTTAGAGAAACCAGCTTTAAATCCTTAGGCTGGGTGCTCACTTAACCTCGGCAGACATGGAAAGCAGCTGACTATAAGCTCAGTATGTTTTTTCTTTCTTTTTTCTCCCCAGTGGCAGGGATAAGCCCACTCTTCTCTTCACAAACTCTAACCCTGATGACAAACTACCCCAACCCCAGCCAAAAACTCCCTTCCTAACCTGGCTACCTGTTGGAGCTGAGTTCTCAGGGTCAGAGCCACAGTTGCCACTCAGGACTCAAGATCAAACTTAGCTGCTTCAGCCCACCAGAGCCCTGTTAGAATCAGTCCTGCCCTTTATAGTTTTAACTCCAAAGGGACTTACTCACAGCTTGAAACCCAGCCTCTGCCTCAGTCTCAGATACCTTCTGACAGTTGGGGCCCAGTGCTTCAGCCCAACTGACTCTTGGTTGCCCAGCAGGTTGCCATGGATGCAGTCTGCAAGGAATGCTGTAGGCCAGTGAGAGCACTGAGCATGTGCAGAGGGATGAAGGAAGGCCATAGGAGACAGGGAAGAGGAAAGAAGGCCTATTCTCAATCTTTGTCTTTGAGGATAGGGAAAAGAGAGGAGGAGTGAAAGACAGTGTGACCCCAATTTCCAAAAGCTCGGGCTTCACTACTGCCAGAAGAGTCAGTCACTCACAGTGGGAAGCCCCCACGGATCCAGGGGAGTCATGTGAGGAGGGAGCTGACCCCTAATGAGACTCAGTGCTTTTGATCTAACTCTACCCTAAACAGAAAGGAGGCTGGGGTGGGGGAAGCCACTGGCTGGCCTAAGGACTCCAAGAATTTTTCAAGGTTTAAAACAAAATAACCAAAGGTGTGGTTATGCTTGAAACAGACAGGACTTTACTGAAGAGCAGAGGTGTGGTAACCATTAGGAATACAGGGAGTGGACACTGGTGACCAAAGGAACAGAAGTCTAGATTCTGCTCTTGTTTGAATATCCATAGGAAGAGGCTTATTTTGAGGAATCTCACAGTTACTGTGCACTGATGGTGTCTGGCCCTGTGTTGAGTAGCTAAAAAATATATAGGGAATTTGTGGATATCTCCCCTACATCCATTCCCTCCTTCCATGGGTTCTTGTTTCTGTCTGCAGATCCCTATACACAGAGAAGTAGACTGTACTCCCAGCTCCAGGTGTGTCAGCACATTCATGTTCCTGGTCACAGGGGTTCATTAGGCATGGTATGTTCCTCTCCAATCAGAAGGGATCTCAAGACTTTTTTCTGGGAATCCTGGGTTATAGACTTTTTCTTTCTTCCTGTGTACAAATAAGAAGGCACATGATAGCCTTTGGGGGACACCAAAGCTATTTCCAGGGAAAGTCAGAATAGACCTATAAAAAATAGGTCCTTGGTGACAATGTTGAGTCCTTCAGTTATATGAGCCTATAAAGTCCCTTTCTTGGTTATGCCAATCTAGACTGGGTTTTTTTCTTGCTTGCAACCCAAATTATCTTAAGTGATGATTGCACACAACACATAATTTTGTAGTTACAAGAATAACTGTAGCCCAGGCCCATATACTTTAAAGGCTGAATTACTTGGCACATAGAGTCTAAAAAAGACTGATGAAGGCTGCCATTGAGGGGAGTCCTGAATAAGACAATGGAATTTCAATGGTGGAGGGGGAAAGGAGAATAATCTAGATTAGGTAGGAGGCAAGAAAAAGCAAAGAATACGCTTGAAAGACTGTGGTTTGCTTTAACTTTCAAGAAATCTTTAAATTTTTTAAAAGTTGTCAATAGATCTTTATTTATTTATATGTGGTGCTGAGAATTGAACCCAGTGCCTCACATCTGCTAGGCAAGTGCTCTACAACCCCAGCCCTGTGGTTTGCTTCTGACAGGGTATGTGTCCTATCCCATTTGGGATGGGAATAGACTGTAGTGAGCTTTGAAAAGCAAATGGATACATTTAAACAAGAATTTAAAAAGAAGCCATCAAACAGTTGGAGCAACAAAGTAACCTGAAACTCTGTAAGACATCAGAGTGAGGGTAGAACCAGTTGGAAACACAAGCCTAGGAGGCCAGAGAAGCCATAGTTAACAAAGATTCAGATGCAAGGTGACAGGATTGGAATAGGAAAATAGTAACAACATATATTTATTGATACCTACCTGAGTTGAGGCTATTTATAAGGAAAATACAATGAATATGATTGTTATCTATCTACTGAAAATATAGAGATAAGTGCATAATGATAAAAGGAGAGGAACTACAAGAGAAGTTTATATACAAAATGAAGGTGCAACTAATGGTAGGGAATGGAAGTTGAGAAAGAATTCAGACATGACAGTGAAGATGAGTGTGACAGTGTGAGGGAAGTCTTGACTATGGTTGGTGACAGATGGGACCTGGGAGTTAAGAGGGAAAGAAGCTGGGTTGGGGTTGTGGCTCAGTAGTAGAGCGCTAGCTTGCCTAGCATACGTGAGGTACTGGGTTTGATCCTTAGTACCACATAAAAAGAAATAAAGGTATTGTGTCTATTTACAACTAAAAAATAATAATTAAAAAAAAAAAAAGAGGGAAGGAAGCACTGAAGCTAGCCTTGAGTAGAAATGGAGACATTTTGAAGGCAATCTCTAAGATACAGGCCAGGGACTCTCCTTCCCAAGGGTGAAGGAAAGGCCTGGCAGCTGAAAGTTTTCTGGGCTTGGAGGATGATAATACTATGGACAAAACAAGATAAAAATAATAATGATGTTAGAAAACAATGGTTATGGATATGTACTCAGTGTTAGGCACAGTTAATCCTCATAATAAACACAGGGGTGTTGCTGTTATTATTCACACACTGCAGATGAAGAACCAAGATCCAGAATGAAAGCAGGAGTGAAATTTGAAACTGAGGCAGTTAGTGTCCAGAGACTACCTTCTGAAGCTCTGTACTAAGCTGCCTAAGGAAGTCTAAGTGCAGGAAAAAGATAAATCTGAAATCTTTTCAAAGGACAAAAAGTTTTATAGACTACTTTTGTTTTTACCCTGAGATGTTTTCTCATTGTGACTTCTTGTCAACACCAAATAAATAAGAACCACCAAACATCTGACAAATCAAGGCAGATTCATTGTGACAGCTTAGCACAAAGTAGCTGCAAAAATATACCTCTAGCACTGAGTAGTCACTCGTCACTTTTCATGCTTTTGTGAGAGCTTCTGACACCTGAGAAGTGGGCCAAGTGTGTGAGAAGGGCAGGGTGAAAAGTACAGAGGTTCCTGGGAAATCCATTCTGCTCTACTAGAGCTCTTGAAAGAAATGAGCAAAGCATTTTATCAGTCTACATAAGATAATGTATTATTAATACCCAGCATAGGTTAGCATGGGAACTGTATCTGTCCACACAGAAATTACATACAGAAAAAACTATTGAAGGATGCTGTCAGAGATCTTATTTTGTGGAATTATCTGTTTCTATTTTGAAATGCTGATTCAAACAATTCTAAAAATTGGGTCAGCATGGTGACTGGTGGTTGCCATTAGGGAGGAGCCTTTCCTGGCATTATTCTTGGTCTCGGGTTTATCAGGGCACAAAAGTGACTGTAGGTAGTTAATGTACTTGATTGCGGCTCTAAGGGTTTCCACTTTGCTGAGTCGTTTCTCCAGATACTCCTCTGGCAGATGATGTCGCAGTTGGGCATAGCCTTCGTTGACACACTTTACCCGTTGCCTTTCCCGCTCATTCCGTTTCCGGATAAAGGCTGGCCCATAGGAGTATTCACACCTTCTGTAATTTGGATAAGGCATTGGGAATGTGAAGGAGCAGGGTTCACCATAATTTTCCATGATCAGGGAGTCACTGGAAAATGGCAGCAATGGCAGCTCTTCAGAGTAAGGAGATGGCACTGGGGCCTCAGGACACAGGTGGAAAGTGACCATGGGGTCCAGATAGAAGGACCTGGGCAGCGGCAAGTGGGCAGAATCAGAGAAGACAGGAAATTTGTCTGGTGAATTAGAGTAGCTTCTATTGTCCGTCATTTTGTCTTTAACCTAGAAATATAACCATGTTTATTAATTTGGCCAGATTAAAAACAGAGCAAGGTTTGTATTCTTAGAGATCAGTGTTTTGAAGTCTTCTATTTAGATTACTAGTTTCTAAGCTCATTTGGGAAAGCACTAAAAAAAAAAGAAGAAAGAAAAACTAAAAATGAGATAGATGTAGACCTATTCAGGAAGAGGGAATGTGCTGGTGTGGGACCCCCTGGAGTATAATACTTTATCCTTGTGCTCCATGGGATGCAGTGGGAGGGGACACAAAAATCTGAATATAGCTGCACTTTACTCAATTAAGTTCTGTGTTTTAAATGTGTGAGGGAGTTTCTTTAAAAAATTTTATAGTAAATATTTAAGAACAAATGATTCCTTTCTTATTTTTATTTTGTTTTTCCCCTGGCATATCAGGTATTACTTAAGAAGCCTATACCTGTGAGGATGCATGATCATTAACTAGTTTGTAATTTTTCCCAATGTGTATTGAATATTGTGGTTTCAGTGTTTCCTAAACTTCAGTTATTTGCATATACCATAGTGATAAAAAGTACATCTGTGTTTCGCTTGTACTATTATTTATTTTTTAAAAAACACTTAACATTTTTTTACTCAATCAGATTTATTTATTTATTGCAGTACTGGAGGATTGAATCCAGGGCCTCCAACATGCAACGAAAGTGCTCTACCACTAAGCTAAATCTTTAGCCCCTCAAAAGGATTTATTTTTACTTTTTTTTTTTTTTGAGAATTTTAATATTTATTTTTAGTTTTCAGCGGACACAACATTTTTGTTTGTATGTGGTGCTGAGGATCGAACCCCGGCCACATGCATGCCAGGCAAGCGTGCTACCGCTTGAGCCACATCCCCAGCCCAAGGATTTATTTTTAAAAGAAACTTTATAACCCTACTGTAAATGTGAAATCAGTATAATTCACAATAAATAGCATTTAACAGTACAAATATTAAATTCAGGCTAGATATTATTCTTGTTGTATGAGGGAGATTAGAAGGCATTCTAGTGATGTGGAAGACATGTTTGCACCAGACTAAGACTGTAACTTGAGGTCACAAGGATTGAAAGAGAATTGGAATGGGAACAACTTTCTCACCAGTGAGTCAATATTATTTAGTGTTGTTTTTTTTGTAGCATCAAAAATCCTCACTTACTAATCACAGTTATAATCCCATCTACTTTCTCCTCAATGCTGGGGAATTAAACTCGGGGCTTTGTGCTGAAGAGGCAAGCTCTCTACCATTAAGCTATACCCCAAATCCCTACCTCATTTTACAACATCTATTGATTTTTTGCATTTAACTATAATATGGTAGCCACTAGAGGTTTTTAAGGGGCATTGTAGTTTAACTAGTAAACTAGGAGGCAGGCAGATGCTGTCTCAAAAAAAATTTTTTTAAATACTTTTTAGTTGTAAATGGATCTTTTATTTTATTTATTTATATGTGGTGTTGAGGATCTAACCCAGGGCCTCACACATGCCAGGCAAATGCTCTACCACTGAGCCACAACTCCAGCCCTTTTTTGTTTTTTTAAAGGCGGCGCTGGGAATGTAGCTCAGAGGAGAGCACTTGTCTAGAATATGCAAGGTTCTGGAGAAGGATGAGTGAGAAGGGTTATAAGTCATGGTGAAAAAGGCTGGAAAAGGAGTCAATGCCAGGAAACACTCTTTCTACAAAAGGGAGTGAGGGAGGATGAGATAAGTGAGATATATTCAATTAAAAATTGAAACAGGAACAGGAAATGGAAGAGTCCAAATTACTGACCAAATGACCTCAAATAACTAACATAAAACAAAAATCTCTGGAAGATTAACAACTAGCCAAGATTCTGTCAAATAGAAAAAGTTGCTGAGAGAAACTAGTTGGGAAATTCCTAAGCTAGGAATCTAGAGGGCAAGATGAATATGTATGGCAGAAGCTACAAAATGATGGCAAATGGATGTGGAGACTGCACAACTATAGTTCTGACAACACTCTTTTATTACTTTTTTAAAGATTTTTTTTAATGTGGACACAATATCTTTATTTATTTATTTTTATGTGGTGCTGAGGACTGAACCCAGTGCCTCACACCACTGAGCTATAATCCCAGCCCTAACATTCTTATTTTTGTGTACAGCTAACAAACCAGAATTTATTAACTACAACAGGTTCCCCCCAAAAGTAAAGCAGATATCAAAGTTAATTATGCAAAATTACATTTTTGGATATGATTTTACTCTGAAGCATAACTGAAGTAACATCTTAAATCTTGATTCAGATGAAATCTGAGTAATTGATATATACTACAGGTAATTAAAAGTTTCTAAGGGCTGGGGATGTGGCTTAAGTGGTAGCGCGCTCACCTGGCATGCATGTGGCCCGGCTTCAGTCCTCAGCACCACATACAAACAAAGATGTTGTGTCCACCAAAAACTAAAAAATAAATATTAAAAAATTCTCTCTCTCTCTTTAAAAAAGTTTCTAGGTTGTTGTGTAATTCTTAGAAAAAAAGTATCTAGGGACATATTGATAAAGAAGCTTTTCTTTTTTAATTGAGCATTTCTAATAAGTCCACCAATCAATGTAGTACCATCTAAATATGATCACCTTTCATTCAAAGAGGACATTTTAGCCATAAACAACAGAGTAAGAGTGTGAAAAAAATGCAGCAGTGAAGAGAATTAAGATAGGAAGCCTAGTAGAGACTCCACTAGGCTAGATGTGTTTGTAGGAATCAAGTACAAGTTTATCTTAAAGGAAGGCAGCATGGATTGTTAGTGCTGGGGCTCCATGATTACAAACACATGACCAACTAACAAATACACCTCTTGGGAAAATCTTGGGTTTCTATCTTAGAGCCCTTCTGGAAAATAAATGATGAGCTCTTAATAATAAAATCCTAAGAGATTCCAGATGCTCTGCTGAACTTTATAAAAGCTTCTGTTTTCATAGATTAAAAAAAATTGGCAGGTAAAAACCACGTATAATTGAATTATAGAATATCAGAGCTTGGAGGAAGCTTAGAAACTCTCTTTTCCCATCCCTCAGAGGTTGTAAATGTTGCTAAGTTTGCAAAGGTAGTAGCACAAAATACTTCCCACTCCTCCACATTATTTAAGCACCAGTAAAATCTAGATCTTTTGTAACATGGACAATAATTTGTATTTTAAGATAATGGAATATAAGATTGACAAAATGTATAATTTAAAAATAGTATCTAGGGACTTTCTTAAAAATCAGGTTCTTATTTTCTCCTATGGGTCACTCTGGAGAAGTGTCTCTTACCTGAGTTTTGTCGCTCAAGATGTTGTATTTTGGGTTGAGTCAGATTTAACCTGATTTATAGGTGGTCATTTAGTAACAATATGCAAAGTAGTTTACAGTTAAACAGAACTGCTTGGTTCTGGTTTAGCTGTTTTTCTACCTAATATGTAGGCATGACAACACTTGACAATACTAAAAAGGAAGGTTTGCTTTCAAAACTACACACTTGTAACAAATTCTTTTGTTTAAAGAATGCCTCTGCATTCATCTGGGATATATGATTTTATATCAAAATTATTTATGGAAAAGATCTTTAGTCTCATAATGTGCAAATATTGGTCAATATTCTTTTAGAGATTTATGCCAGAACTAGGAGGGTCAATAAGAACTTATATCTTTTGTGTGTTTGTGTGGTGGGTGTATGTGTTATATTGGAGATTGAACATGGGACTCTCTACCATTGAGATACATTTCCAGTTCTCTCTCTTTTTTTTTTTCGATACCGGGGATTGACTCCAGGGGTGCTTAGCCACTGAGCCACATCCCCAGCATTTTGTGTGTGTGTATGTGTGTGTATATATACATATATATATATATATATATTTTTTTTTTTTTTAGTATTTATTTTTTAGTTGTAGTTGGACACAATACCTTTATTTATTTGTTTTTATGTGTTGCTAAGGATCCATCCCCAGGGCCTTGTATGTGCTAGGTGAGCGTTCTACCACTGAGCCACAACCCTAGCATGTACAGAGTCTCAATGTCACACTGAGTTGCTAAGGGCCTCACTAAATTGCTGACGCTGTCCTTGAACTTTCAATCCTCCTGCATCAGCCTCCCAAGATACTGGGATTATAGGCATGCACCACAGTGTCTTACTGCCATCTTCAGTTCTTTTTTTTTACTTTTTATTTTAAGGTAGAGTCTTGCTAAGTTGCCCTGGCTAGTCTAAAACTTGGGATCCTCCTGCCTCAGCCTTCTGAATTACTGGGATTACAAGCATGCACCACCATGCTCAGCATTACATCTTTTTAAAAATACTAATTTTTTCTTATTTTTAGAGTAGTTTTAGGTTCACAGTAAAACTGGGCAGAAAGCACATAGTTCCCATATACTCCCTGCGCCTACACACGTACTGTCTCCTTTACTATCAATATCCTGCACCCTAGAGGTACCCTTCTTACAACTGATGACCCTATACACCATTATCACCCAAAGTCTATAATTTATATTTATATTCTATGGGTTTGACAAATGTGTACTGGTGTATATCTACCAATACAATATCATACACAATAGTTTCACTGCCTTAAACATCCTTTATGTTCTGTCTATTTATCTTTCCCTTCTCTTTAACCCCTACAACCACTGATCTTCTTACTGTTTCTATGGTTTTGTCTTTTCCAGAATGTCATATAATTGGAATCATTCTGTATATAGGCTTTTCAGATTGGCTTCTTTCATTTAGTAATAGAATTTAAGGTTCTTCTACGTCTTTTCATAGCTGGAAAGCTCAAAAGCTGCTATAAACATTCATGTGCAGGTTTTCAAACGGACATAAGATTTCAATTCATTTGGCTAATTACCAAAGATCACAATTGCTAGATCATATAATATAGTTTTGTAAACCACCAAACTCTTCAAAATTGCTGTATCATTTTGCATTACCACCAGCAATAAATAAGAGTTCTTGTTGTTCTACATTCTGTATTTGGAATTAGTGCTCTGGATTTTGG